ACTCCTCTATCGCCCCTACGCTGATGTTTCGCTGTCAAACACTGTACAGTACAAGCTGTAAACAACAATCATTTACAAAGGTTGATAAAATTAAAGTAATAAATGAATAAATGTCAATCAAGTTAACGTGTCTAGTTTAAAACAGCATTTAATCTATAATTAATAAATGTTAAAACATAATTTAAAACATATAAATGATTTAGTAATATTTAATGTATTGTGTACAGAGTGTGTACTGTACAGTGTTTGACAGCAAAACATCAGCGTAGGGGCGATAGAGGAGTGTAGGGGTACGAATTCTATATAGATTTGACCCCTCTGTATATTAAAAAGTCAAAATCTAAAAACGATATATTGAACATAATGTTTGTCCATGTTACTACTACTCTCTCTTATTGATACCAACGGTAAGCGAAAGTGGAAACTTAACGTGAATTAGTCGACGATAGTTAATTGGATTCTCGGTATGGATCAGGCGGGTAAACTTGTACCGGAGCACAAGATGTACCAAGGCCAGTTTAATCTCAATCATTGCAAAGCGCATACCAACGCAATTGCGAGGCCCGGAGCCAAACGGGAGGTATGCATGCGGCATAATGCTGGTCCTATTAGCCCCCATAAAACGATCAGGGTTATATTGAAACGGATCAGAGTAATATTCTGACGAATGGTGTAGGGCATAAATGGGCACTTCTACTTGTTGTCCCTTTTTCACAACAATACCGGTATCGCCGAGTTTATAGTCAGTGTTGGCCACACGGGCTAACGGTATGGCCGCCGAGTGGTGTCGCGCGGTCTCCGAGAAAACTGCGTCCAAATATTTGAGCCCTAAAAGTGTCTCGTAATCAATCTCTCCGTCGGCGTCGACGGCACCGGCGATCTCGTCGTACAGACGCTCCTGTATTGTCTCATTCATTGCCAACTCATAGACAGTGTAGCCAACGGTTAAACTGGTGGACAGGTATCCGACCAAATGAAAGAGAAACGCCTGTGCGATCACCTCATCCTCTGTCAGCCGCTTTTCAGTCACCGCTATATTCATTGCCTGTCGTCTCATCGCTGATTCTTCAGACCCTATGACATAAAGTACATAAAACTCAGTGCATTAATACTAAAATTAAATATAACTTATATTATATAAAGATATTAAATTAATGTAAAAGATGACATTATCATTTTAAAAGTATTCTAAAATTTAATGTATAAAGTATAAAATATAAAAGCCTCAATCGATCGACATTAAATACAAAACCATTATTTATTAGTATTATGCAAATACTAGCATTTTAGAACAAGTTTTATAATTAGGTTATTATAATGTTTGTGAACTTAATTATATTGTCATTAAATAAATAATGTAGTTTATAGGGTCTGTCGTCCCACAATCCCTTTTTCTTCCGTTTAGGCTTAATTGGGATAACATGGTTACAATGGTTTATCTTATTGCTTTTTTATTAAGTAGGAATATTCGTATAGGTTTAACCTTAAAGTTTAAATACATGTCTATATTATAAGTTATTTCAAATTATAATTTATAACCGTTTTATTACTGTACGCGAGAGAGAGAGAGAGAGAGAGAGAGAGAGAGAGAGAGAGAGAATATACCTTCATGTAATTGTTCGCTTGTATCAATGGTTGAAGTGCTAGAACTATAATCGGCATCTAAAAGTAGCTGGATGAAATCAACATATTTAATTTGAGTACCATCTTGTTGGCTTAGTTGTTTCTCTTTGCGTTCCTGAATAACTTTTCTAACATGTTCAATAAAATATCGATCCACATCCCGGTCTGACACGCGTAGCCATCGTTGGATCCGTTTAGGCAATATCAGGGTAAACAACTCGTCCCATGGACTGAAATTAAATTTAGCTTGCGCCAATTTTACGAAAATGTCTTCTCCCGGGGTGTACACATTGATTTGAGTGGCGAACACACATCGACCAATCACATCCATCGCAAATTTGGCCATGGTGCTCACGAGCTCCATCTGGCCCACGGGCACCACCTCATTGTCCAAATGGGTCATAAAAGTTTGCAAACAGCCTCTTATTTCGGGAAACATTTGGCGCATTTTTCTGCTCGTAAAGACCGGGCTGATTATATTTCGCACGCGTTTCCAGTCGTCGCCACTCAAATGGTTAATGTTTCGGGCGGTGACCGGATTGGCTGATGTCCATAATTTGGTCCGATCGGTGAACGCGTGAAAGTCCTTTACCATAATGTCCCGGATTAAATCCGGATCAGCAATGTTCAGGACAGGGATGTTGCCCATAAAATGACTAAATATGGACAAACCAATAAGTATTAATGCAGTTGTTGTCATTGAGATGTGTGAACATCAATCAGTTGTGTGAACGTAGCGTTTGTATAAAGCAAACACTAACACCTAAACTCACAGTCGATTGGTATAATGTTTGAATGATATCAATTGTGTAAACATTCAATACATTATACATTCAGTTGAATGAAAAATATTATTTAGGATTTTAATTATAATTTTATATTTAGGATTATCCATAAATTACCCAATTTTAAAAAATATAAATATTACAAGGTTAAACTATTGCAAACATACAAGAAAGGTTCCATTGTATTCTAATAAGAAGGCGAGGTGATATTCCCTTCTTTTAACCAGATACATCCTGATTTGTGGGTACGCAGGCTTATCTAATATAATATATTAAATATTATTTACTAACCCATATATTTTTCCGTATTTGTTAGACCAATAGAGTTCGCGTTCGTGTTGTGGTGCAGGAAAATGACTGAAATAATTACCAAATACAGGTAATGGTCTTGGACCTTTTATTCCTTGATTGTACCAATAATGATTAGTACCATGCCAGAATAACCTGTAATTTAAAATTATTATAAAATCTTATAAACATATCTTTATCATTAAAAAAATTATGTAATATTCTTATTGCCAAAATCACCGAAGTTATGGTCAAATATCTAGCAAATTTAATACGCCTTATAGCATTCGAGTTTTGTTAAATGGCATTACTTAATTTTCAGTTAAAAAGTGGTTAGAAATTTGGCCATGACTTCGGTGTCTGTAGCCATTCGCACTTTCTGTAGATTATTTATAAATCTCCATACAATATTGGACATGATTATTATTAACCAGAACTGGATGAGCTAGGTGATATACGCATCCTTTCCTACTTAGCTCAATTTTTGGTGGGCTTTATTTATACTTCTAATGTATTATTAATCAAAGGCTAGGGCTATAAACTAATAGGTTACTGGGCCCCGCTGGCCTGGTCACCATTTGACATGGATATGAATACACATGGTCAGAGGTCTTCGTGAGTGGTGTCCATTCCGTCGCAGGACTTCGGGTTCGGGAGTAGTGACCACTTATATCGGGAAAGAATTACAGTCTATTTAAGGGCGTATTTTATGTTCGATTATGTCATATGATATATCAATCGAACGGTTTTGATGAGTGGATCATAATTCTGAAGGAATTTCTTAACTGAGATAGACCAATCGAGAGCAATCTCAATAATAGTCATTTAAATATAATTTTGACATTATTTATGCATTAAACCGTAATTAATGTTAGTAGTATTAGTAATATTAGTAGTAACATATAAAATAAAAATACAATCAACTTATTTCAATAAATAACGTTTTCATCATAAATACCATATATTAATTTTTCAAATATTTTATTTTCAATATAACTTTTTTCAGGAAACGTATAATGATGAAATTCCTTCAGAATTATGATCCACTCATCAAACCCGTTCGATTGATATATCATATGACATATTCGAACATAAAATACGTCCTTAAATAGACTA